TTTCATCTCAATAAAAAGAAGGGAAAAAACAAACCTCATGGGCTACACAGAAGAGGTGCGACCACCAGAATATGAACCAAGAGGTGAGAAATGCCTCCTGTTGCTTTACAGAGGAAGAAAGGGGGGCTCACAGGCCTGGGGAAGCTGGTCGCAGCTAATACAAGCTGGACATCCTAGGTGACCGTGCAGGGGGCATATTTGGCTTGCTTGGTTTGGTCCTAAGGTGGAAGCGGGGGCAGAGTCGGGAGGCCGGCAGATGCTGGCCGGTTGCTGCAGCAGTTGTGGCTGGGCCCCCGGCTGGCTGCTGAAGGGCGTGGGTCACAGTGCTACGGTCATCTGTGCTCCTGGTTTTGTTAGTTCTTGTGTTCAGTGTCGGGCAGTAAACACACCTGTCCCCATGCAGCGCAGCGAGCACCACAGAAGGGCAAGGCGGCACGGGACAGCAGCTCAGTTCCTGTCAGCGTCTGCACCAAGGACGTGGGCTCCGAGCGTCAACTCCTGGTGGCCCGGAGGCCCGCCACTTAGGACCAGCAAGTCCCTGCAGGACGCACACAGTTGTGAGCTAACCGGAGGCACAAACACTGCTCCAGGTGCTGCTAGGAACATGTCTCTCCTCTTGTCCCTGCCCGCTCCCCTCTCCACCCCCGCCCTGACCTCTCGATGCCATTTCCACATCTTCACCCCCAGGCCTGCCTGCACGCACCCCACCCACTGGCGCCCTGATTATCACCACGAGAGGGGCCTTGAGTGGGAGCTAGGCTTCCCGCTGGTGGAACATTCTTTCCCCATGCAGTCACGCCCTGTTCCCAGGAGGGCTGAGGCTCTGGGTGTGGGGCACGCCAAGAACACCTGGGCCCAGTTGCCAGCGACGCCCAACATCCCCCAATCGGACCGGGGACACAGGGCCCTGGATTTAGTTTCTGTGGAGAACAAAGACCCTCCCTCGACCAACCGAAACCTGAAAAACAAGCCCAGCCCTGCAGGACGAGGGCGGCAGGCACAGGAATGCCAGTGACATTCTTCTCTTTTGCCCTTGGCCCCAGAGATAAAGGCTCCTAATCTCCTGTCTTGAAGAAAAATGTTCACGTGAGCACATTAGGAGGAAGGCAGGAGCCAGGGACCCGACTGTGCTTTCTCAGAACCTTCCAGCACAGGAGAATCTCAGCACACTGGAGGGGAGGCGGGGAGTCCCCAGCACAACACCAGGGGCAGGATGGAGGAGAAGGTTGGCCACGGTGCGGGGCTGGCTCCTCCTGCAGGGGGGAGGTGTTGCAGGGCAAGGCCCAGGCCCATGTGCCAAAAACAGGCATGCCCGGTCAGAACGTGCCAGCTGTGTGAACTGCCCGGCCTGTCCGTGGCTCTCCATCTCCTTGGTGGCCCGTGGCCCAGGCCTCATCAATTCTTGCCTGGAGACGGCAGCAGCCCGTTCTGCCTCCTCTTTGCTTGCTCTGGGGTCTTCAGTAGACTCCCCCCCAAAATTTACATTCACCTGGAACTTCACACGGTGACCTTATTTGGAAATAGGGTCTTGGCAGATCTCATCAGTTAAGGAACTGGAGCTGAAATCATCCTGGATTTAGAGTGGGCCCTAAATGCAATGGTTGGTGTCCCTATAAGAAGAAGAGAGGACACAGAAAGACAAGGGGAAGAAGCTCATATGAAGATGGAGGCAGAGTCAGGAGTGAAGAGGCTACAAGCCAAGGGACGCCTGGGGCCACCAGAAGCTGGAAGAGGCGGGAAGGATCCTCTCCTGGAGCCTTCAGAGGGAGCATGGCCCTGCTGACACCCTGATTTTGGATTTCCGGCCTCCAGACTAAGAGAATATATTTCTGTTGCTCTAAGCCCCCAAGTTTGTGGTGATTTGTTACAGCACCCACAGGAAACTCATACTCTTGCCACCCCTAATCTGGGCCTCCAGTGGCCGGAGGGATCTCTCAGGTCAGATTAAATTCCATCCTCCTTCTCTGCAGCGTTTTCCCATTACATTCACAACTTTTCTTTTCTTTTCTTTTCTTGAGGAAGATTAGCCCTGAGCTAACATTGGCCACGCATCCTCCCCATTTTGCTGAGGAAGATTGGCCCTAAGCTAAGGTCCATGCCCATTGTCCTCTACTTTATATGTGGGACACCTGGCACAGCATGGCTTGATGAGCAGTGTTGGATCCGGGATCCAAACCAGTGAACCACAGCCGCCGAAGGGGTGCACACGAACTTAACCGCTACACCACCAGGCCAGCCCAAAGCATTACATTCAGAATAAAACCCACCCTCCCTCCCACAGCACTGGGCCCCGTGTAGTCTAGCCCCTGCCCACTTTCTACTCGTCTCAGCCCTCACTGGACACCACCCACGAACCGTCACTTCCTGGAAAATTTTTATTTCTAGAAACTTCTGTTCCCAGAAAACCTGCTGAGCGGGTTCCCATCTCAGGACCTTCACGCTTACTGTTCCCTCTTCTGGGAACGCCCTTCCTCTGGATCAGTGGATCTCCACAGGGGGATTTTGCCTCCCAAGGGAAGTTGGCACTGTCTGGAGCCATTTTTTGGTTCTTACTTCTTGGAGGGGGAGGAGGGTGTTACTGGCATCTGGGTAGAGGCCAGGGAGGCCGCTCATCACCCCACAAGGCACAGGATGGTCCCCACAGCAGAGAATTATCCTGCCCCCGATGTCCATAGTGCCGAGGTTGAGAACCCCGCCCTAAATCTTTCCATAACTCAGTCCGCCTTGTCTGTCAGGCTTTGCCTCAAATGCCACCTCCTCAAAGAGGCCCTCCCTGACCATCCTTTGTAGCCGGGCACCTCCTGTCACCCCCTTATTACATCATATCGTTTCACTTTCTTCAGGGTCCCTATCATCATTTGAACCATCTTGCTTGTTTATTTTTGCTTGATGTCTGTCTCCCTCTGCTAGGATATCCCGGCAGATTTTCACAACCACTGCGGGTGGAAATTTTTACTCTCTAGCCATCTCCCCACCAATCCTCACCCCCACAGCCTCCAGGGAGTCATTAATTGAAGGCTTGTTCTTTCCCATTTAGCCAACAGATATTTTTTCCCCTCTCCTAGGTCTTTGTGTGGAGGTGAGCGTTGCCGGCCCGGACCTGTCTGAGCAGTCGTCACTCCGTGCAGGTTGACTAGCATTTTCTGGTCCTGCCAGGGCTGTGCGGGCGGCTGTGGAGTCAGTCGGCCCAGCCTCACACGGAACAAACTGTTCTCCGTGAATGCAGCACGCCAACTGGGTGTTTCCTCCTGGTCCAGACACGCAGCCCTGTAGCAGGAGATGCTGGCCCCGAGTCCCAGCACGGACCTCCACCTCCACCTGTTTCAGAATGAGAATCTCAGAATGACAGGAAGGGAGCTGCCATGGGCTGAATTGTGTCCTCTCCAAATTTACGTGTTAAAATCTTAAACCTCAGTATCTCAAATGGGGCTATTTCTGGAGATAAGGCCTTTAAAGAGGTGATTAAGAAAAGGAGGTCAGATGAGTGGGTCCCAATCCATTATGACCGGGGTACTTATAAGAAGAAGAGAGTAGGACACAGACACACACAGAGGCAAGACGATGTGAGCGCACAGCGGGAGACGGCGGCCATCTGAAAGCTAAGGAGCGAGGCCTCGGGAGAAACCAAACCTGGCGACACCTTGATCTTGGACTTCTAATCTGCAGAAGTGTGAGAAAATAATTTCGTGTTATTTAAGTCACTGGGTCTGTGGCTGTGGCATGGCAGCCCTAACAAGCGAATATAGGGCCAACCTAGGCTCGAACCCCTCCTCACTCATGCACTCCAGGGCAGGTCTCTGAATTTCCCCAGGCTTCACTTTCTCCACCAGTAAAATGGATATAATAAGACTGCATCTATTTTATAGAGCTGCCGTGAGGAGTGAGTGAGACAGAGTCAATATTTCTTGAGCACTGAGTATGTGCCAAGCTTTTGCTCACAACATATTATGAACTTCTCTTGTCTAATTCCGTAAGACAACTCTTTGAAATAGGTTCCATAATACCCATGTTACAGTTCAGGAAACTGAGGCCCAGAGAGATAAAGCAACTTGCCCAAGACCCACAGCTGGTAAGTATGGCATCTACAATTTGAACCCAGGTTTGCCCGACTCCAAAACCCAGGTGTTTAACCATGATGACTATGACGTGCCTGGCACACAGGAAAACCCCAGTAATGGTTAGTTCGATTCTTCTTTACAACAGGCTGAGCTTCATAAAGTCTCGATAGAGGATGTAGCTTTAATCACCATTAAAGAATTGAAGAAGCCTGGCCCAGTAGCGCAGCAGTTAAGCGCACACGTTCCGCTTTGGAGACCCAGGGTTTGCCTGTTCAGATCCCAGGTGCGGACATGGCACCGCTTGGCACACCATGCTGTGGTAGGCATCCCACATATAAAGTAGAGGAAGATGGGCACGGATGTTAGCTCAGGGCCGGTCTTCCTCAGCAAAAAGAGGAGGATTGGCAGCAGATGTTAGCTCAGTGCCAATCTTCCTCAAAAAAGAATTGAAGATCACGTCTGTAGCTTAGAGTATCTTCAATTCAAGTCTATAAATCTTTACAAAGTACCTCCTGTGCTCTGAGCAGTGTTTGAGGCATTGTGGGGACAGGCTGTCCCCTGAAAGCTTATCACTTATTTCTGGAAAAGGCACCTATTCCCTAGGGTTTCCTGAAAGGCAGGAGAGCATGTCTGTATTAGTTAGCTATTGCTGCATAACAAATTATCTCAAATCTTAGCAGAGGTGATTTCTGTGGCTCAGGAATGTCAAAAGGGCAAAATGGGAATGGCTTGTCTTTGTTTTTTGGATCTTTCTTAGTATTTTCTTATTGTGGTAAAATATACATAATATAAAATTTATCTTAACCATGTTAAGTGTACAGCTCAGCGGCATTAAGCGCATTCACAGTGTTGTGCAACCATCTGTACTATTTCCGGAAATTTTTCATCATCCCAAGCAGAAACTCTATACCCGTTGAACAATAATTTCCGTCTTCCCCTCACCTCATTATCTCTGCTTCTTAATGTCTGGGTCCTCAGTTGGAATTCTGAAGGCTGGAATCATCTTCTTCACTCACTTGTCTGGCAGTCAACACTGGCTGGAGCAGCTGAAATCTTAGCTGGTGCTGTGGGCTGGAACTCCTACATGTGGCCTCTCCATGTGGCCTGGGCTTCCTCAAAAAGTGGTGGCTGGATTCTGGAGGTGAGCACTGAGAGAGAGAGAGAGAAGGAGAGAGAGAGAGAGAAAGTCAAGCAGCAGCTGTATCCTTGGGATGACCTTGACCCAGAAGTCATATAACATCACTCTGGCTGTGTTCCATTGGATGGGGCAGCCACAAGGTCCAGATTCATGGGGAGGGCACACAGATTCCGCTTCTCAGGGGAGGCAAGCCAGTCAATTTTGGTAAGAAGAGCACTTAGGATGGATACGTACATTGGTGAGACCATCCTTGGAAAACACAATCTGCCACACTGAAGAGGCTGAATACATAAGTGCTGAGAGCTTTCCAAGTACGGATATGACTGGAGGGATGCGGCTGAGCATGGAGGAGGTGAATGCTGGCCTTGATAGGAATATAAGATTTTTTCATGGCAGGGAAAAGATAGCAAAGACAGTCAACACAAGCTGGACAACAGCCCGAGGCTTGGCTACTCCTGTTGACGTGCGTGGCCAGTGCTATAAGGCTGAGCTTCCGTGGGGGTCAACAAAGTGATGCCTTGTGGCCAACAGAGCCACCAGCAAATCTGACACATATATGTGGGAGCGGGAGCAATGAGCCCAACACAGAGCTAGTATGGAGATAAGTTTACCACCTAATAAAGGTGTTCTCGATGAGGAGAAATCGGATGCTTCCATAAATGATGCCGAGACGATTGGTTGGAGTATAGCGATTACGAGTATAATCCGACTTCTTAGCTCTCATTTTATAGTTTCAAAATATGTTCCAGATGGATTAAAGAATTCAATTAAAAATATGGAGCTCGGGGCTGGCTCCGTGGCCGAGTGGTTAAGTTCACACGCTCAGCTGCGGCGGCCCAGGGTTTCGCTGGTTCGGATCCTAAGGTGGAGAAGTGGTTAAATAAACTATGGGATACATCCGTATGTTGAAATACCACGTGATCATTGAGTCACGTTCTTAGATGATGTTTAAGGATACAGGGGACATGCTCATGCGGTATTCAGCGAAAAAAGTGGACTGTAGAATATCATTATTATGCCATGCTATCCTTGGCTGTCTTTCTAGCAACAGCTGAAGTTCTGTTTCTTACTAAGTATTCAGCTAAGTGTTTTTATAGGGATTACATCATTGAAAATTTCCCAGTGACCCATGAGATAGGTACAGCTAATATCCCCATTGGGCAGGGTAGGAGACTGAGACGTAGATAAATTCATTCATCTGCCCGAGGTTGGGGAGCTGGGCTTGGAACCCAGGTCTGCCTCGCTTCAGAGCCCTGGTGGAAAATCACGCGGAGGCTGTGAATTTCCCATTTTGTGAAAAACCAGCCCCTCAAAAATGAATGGAGCAGAGGGACAGTGGAGGGATAAGGATGCAAATGTTAGCTCTGGTTATGTGTGGGTGGTGAGATGATTTTCCTCATTTTCTACAAATTTATGTTCCTTTTGGAGTAAAAAAATTTATAGAACATTTATAAAAGAATGAGTATACGCTGTATAGAAGTCCACACAGGCATGTCATAAAGCCCTCTCCTCTCTTGGGGTCTCTGAGTGATTTGTGACGGGGAATTCTGGGGGTCCCCATGAAGGCACACCTGCAAATGCCCAGAGGGGTGTGGCCACCAGGAGACGCCTGCAAACCCTTGATGGCAGTTTCTGAGATGAATTGCCATTGCCCTAAGGGCAGCAGACGCAGCTACAAGGGACCCTGTGGGACAGGACAACGCTGTTCTTTATTTTTAAGGAGCACCCCGCAAGGTGGTCCCCCTGACTCACCCTCGGGCACCCCTCGCCACCAGAAAGGCCACCAGGTGGCGCCCGGGAGCCTGGCTCGCCGGCTGGTCCAGCCAAGCAACGACCCTGGTTGCCATGGGAACAGCTGGGCGGGGGCGGAACCAATCTGGACCCGCTAAGGGTGGCCGGTCTCCTCCGTCTGCCGCTTGCCTATTTTCATGCCCCACCCCATTGCCCCCAATCTCGTCGCCCCACTCCCACGCCCAGGCCTCGATTTCTCTGTCTTTAAAAGGCAGAGACCGAGGAGGAGTGAAAAACAAAAAGAAAAACTTTGAAGCACTGGGGTTTTTTTCTTTAAAAAATTCTGGAATAGTTCAAACATACAGAAAACTATAGAGAGTAAATTAAACGCTCGTGTACCCTCCACCCAGAATTAATATATGTTAATATTTTTGCCTTACACGTTTCCGACTTTTATTTTAAGAAATCCCCTTTGCACCCTTCCTGGATCCCATTCTCCTCTCCCTGGAGGCAACTGCTACCCTGAAGGTGGCCTTGTCCTTCCTGTCTGTGCTTTTATACTTTTACTACCTTGGTGGGTAGCCGTAAACAATGGAGAGTATTGTTTTTCGTGTTTTCAAATGTACTCTTTCCTACCATGCATAGTCTTCAAATTGCTTTTTCACTCAACATGCTGTTGAGATTTATTCTTCCCTTTTTTTTCTTTTTAAGGATTGGCACCTGAGCTAACATCTGTTGCCAATCTTTTTTTCTTCTTCTTCTCCCCAAAGCCCCCCAGTACATAGTTGTATATTCTAGTTGTAGGTCCTGGTGGCCGTGTTATGTGGGACGCCACCTCAGCATGGCCTGATGAGCGGTGCCACGTCCACACCCAGGATCTGAACTGGCAAAACCCTGGGCCACCAAAGCGGAGTGCGTGAACTTAACCACTAAGCCATGGGTCTGGCCCCCCGAGATTTATTCTTGACAGATGTTCATTTTAACTGCCTTATGGAAGTCCTTTGTTTTAATATATCCATTTTTATTTTTATTATTTTATTTTATTTTATTTATTTTTTTGCTGAAGAAGATTAGCCCCGAGCTAACATCTGTGCCAATCTTCCTCTACTTTGTATGTAGGTCGCCACCACGGCATGGCTGATGAGTGGTGTAGGTTCACATCTAGGAGGTGAACCTGCGAACCTGTGCCACCAAAGTGGAGCACACCAAATTTAACCACTAGGCCACGGGGCTGGCCCCTCTATTTTTATTTTTAAAAAATATGTTCATTTATATTGTTTCTAATTTTTGCTATTGTAAACAATACTGCAATGAACATCTTTGCACCCTGTTCCCCATGCCCCATGCAAGAGATTCTCTCCGGAATACGTCTAGAAACACAGGTTCTGGGTTGTGAGGTAGGAGCACCCTCCAGTCACCAGGGGTTGCCAGTTGCTCTATAATGAAAGAGTCAGTTTATACTTCCCCCAGCAGGAGGTGAGTTCCCTTTTCCCCAGGTCCTCACCAGTACTTAGTGTTATCACCCTTTCCGTTTCTCAGCTTGGTGTCTTCTTGCCTGTTCCTCAGGGAAGTGAGAGGTGGCTCATTGCTAACGGTAGCTGGTCTTTGAATTGAATTCCCAAGGGACATTGAAAAACATGTTTTGCAACTTCTGCTTTTTGCACAGACCTGTGGGCAGCAGGACAGGCTCCTGCTCAGGGTGCCGTCGGTTTTCTCCAAGCGCTCACAGCACGTGAGAATGAATGCCCTTGACCACACTCTTTGTCACCTCTGTTTGTCACCTCCCTTCTAAACTGAGGCTCCTTCCTCACTGTGTTCTTGGTCTGCCCACTCCCAGCAGGGTCAGCAGGGTCCACGGTAGTTTACCCCTCCGTTTGCTTGATAGCAATTCAAGTTCCATTCGAAGTTCCAGTGGACCCCCGATGTGTGGGAATTCAGTGAGATTCAAAGCTGGGAGAAGGTGGGCATGTTGTATCTGAGACTTAGTAAGTGGTGACGCCGACAGCCCGGAGAGGCCACGCTTTCTGTTCGAACGAGAACTTGCTTCAAACGCAGAAAGAAGGCAGTGGTGATTTAAGAAACACGAAGAACCCAGGAATCCTCTCATGTCCTTTCCTACTGTGTCACTTCCCTGTGTTAGCCGACCACCTATGCTGAAAATGATGGCACCGAAGGAAAGGAAGGATCGCGACACCCACAGCTCCTTTTCCTTTTGACTCTTCCTTACCCATCAATGAGCTGAAGGTAAATTTCTGAGTTTTCTTTACCTGGAATGATATTAAGTAGGAAATGAAAAACAGCGTGACAAGTCAAAAGAGAGACCACAGAAGAAAGGAAAAAGGTTTATATTTTAGTATCTTCAACAGCACTGCCCAACCCCACACCCCGCTCTGCTTGTTCCTTTCTCGATAATTCTTACCATCTTCTCACATCCTATATATTTTACTTGTGATTCTTGTTCATTGTCTGTCTCTGCTCTTTAGAACGTCCCTTCTCTGAAGGCAGGATTCGGGTTTTGCTCACTGATCTGTATCCTGAGGGCTCAGAGGTGGTATCTGGCACATAGTAGTTACTCACTAAATATCCGTTGTATAAATCAACATATTAAATGAATACACAACTATGTAAAAAAAACTCTACTTGTCTCGGCAATTCCACTTCTGGATATATGCCCCAAATAATTGAAAGCCAGGACTCAAATAGCTATTTGCACATGCATATTCATAGCAGCATTATTTACAACAGCTAAAAGAAGAAACAACCCAAATGTCCATCACAGACGAATGGATAAACAAAATGTGGTCCATCCATACAGCGGAATGTTGTTCAGCCTTGAAAGGAAGGCAATTCTGACATGTGCTACCGCACGGATGCAACTTGAGGACATTGCGTTACGTGAAAAAAGCCAGTCGCGAAAGGACAGATATTGTATGATTCCACTTATGTGAGGTACTGAGAGTAATCAAAATCATGGAAACTGAAAGTAGAAAGGTGGTTGCCAGGGGCTGGAGGACGGGAGAATGGGGAGTTATTGTTCAATGGGGATAGAGTTTCAGTTTCGAAAGATGAAATGTTCTGGAGATGGATGGTGGTAATGACCGTACAACCACCTGACTGTATTTAATGCCACTCAACTGTGCTCTTAAAAAATGGCTAAAGCAGTAAATTTTATGTTAGGTATATTTTACCATAATAAAAACCACCACCACCACCACACAAAAACCCACTTGTCTTGAAATTAGGTGGGACATGTTTCACACTGGGGGCAACGCAGGTCCAGACAGCTGCCCTGAGCTTCTGCGGGTCTGTGAGCACATTGGCACAAACCCCTCCAAGGAGCCCGGCCGCCTGTGCTCTGCAGGAAGGACCAAGGCATTCCCCCGGCTGCCCTCCAGCACGGAGGCATGAGGCATGCTCCCCGTCTCTCCTTGCGATGCTCTGTGCTCAGTCCGTTCTCTCAATATACATCAATCGCACCACCACCAAAGGACGAAACAAAGAGAACCCGTCCACACCAACCTCGACCCTTTTCTGTGTTTTTTCCAGTCTGCGTTCGCCTGCAGGTGTCTTTTCACGTAGTTCTAGTCAGCACAGACACAATGTTGGGTTCTGCTTGTTTTACTTTAAACGTTGTGGACATTTTTCATACATTGCTGCAATCCTCGTGGTGGTTATTTTTAAGAGCTGCGTACCATCCCATCTGGTGGATGTACCATAATTTATTTTGCCCTTCTCCTACTTTTGGACGTGTGGCCTGTTTTTAGGCGTCCACAACTCTAAGGAGTGGCCCGGCCAGCTGAGCATTTGATGCATCAGGATTTTATCTTTGAGTCTCAAACCAGCATAGAAGGGTGCACCCTGGCCAGGTCCCAGAGGATCTCCAAGAACCCCATGAGAGAGAGCAGGAGCTCCAATAGCCAAGGTTGGGGAAGGAGTGGGTCCATTAGTGGACCCCAAAAGGCAGGCTGAAGGGAGCACACACTGTGTCACACAGGTACCTACACGGGCCACACCAGATGCTGCCAAATTTTGCAAGGACTAGTTCAAGTTCAGGGGGCTCTCAAGATCAGCCTCAGGTTCAATAATTTGCCAGAAAGACTCAGAGAACTCAGCAAAGCCATTACGCTCATGGTTATGCTTTATTAAAGCAAAAGGATGTATATGCAGGTCAGCCAAGGGCAGAGGCTCATGGGGCAGAATCTGGGAGGGTTCTGCACGTGGAGCTTCCAGTTGTCCCCTCCCAGTGGTGTCATGGACAGCGCTAATATCTCCCAGCAATGACATGTGACAGCACGCATGGAGTATTGCCCATCAGGGAAGCCCCCTGAGCCTTGGTGTCCAGAGTCTTTATTGGGGCTCCATCGCATAGGCGTGGTTGACTCCACACGTGGCTGTCCTTTAGTCTCCAGCCCCTCCAGAGGCTAAGCTGACACCATGTGGCCAAAGCCCCCACCCTGAATCACACTGTTAGACTTTCTGGCATGTCCCAAGGTCCTTAGGTAAACAGAGTCATTCTTATGGGGCAGAACCTTCCAAAAGCTTAAAGATCACCTCCCAGGAGTTGAGGGCAAAGGGCAACCTCTCTTTGGGTAAGGTCAATACTTTCCTGCCCCAAAAGCCACACTCTGGGGAATAAAAAAGATGAACAAAACCCAAGTAGTGGAGTAGAAGGCAACAGGCCTTCGTATGCTCTGCTGTGGATCTGCGGGTGCCATGATGTTCTCCATACTTTGTGTATGCCTCACGTCTTCCCTGATGAGAAGTCTTTTATTTTTTATTTATTTATTTGAGGAAGATTAGCCCTGAGCTAACATCTGCCGCCAATCCTCCTCTTTTTGCTGAGGAAGACTGGCCCTGAGCTAACATCCGTGCCCATCTTCCTCTACTTTATATGTGGGATGCCTGCCACAGCATGGCTTGCCAAGCAGTGCCATGTCCGCACCCGGGATCTGAACCGGTGAACCCAGGGCTGCCGAAGCAGAACATGCACACTTAACCACTGGGCCACCGGGATGGCCTCAAGAAGTCCTTTAAATACCCTGAATGATCTGAAGACCCGAGGGAAATGGAAGAATATATTGGATGCACATGACAGGTAAGAGATTTGTTCCTTAATTTCAAAAGGCTATTGCAAACACATTTTTAAATTGATTCA